AGAGGGCACATGTGTGTGCTTGACAGAGAGACAGAGAGAGACAGAGAGACAGACAGCAAGAAATCATCCCCTAGGGGAATGGCCACTCCACAATCCCTTCTCTTCCATTCTCCTCTTGGGATCTTGGGCATGCGCGCACATGTGCCCATCATGAGTTTAAGCCGCCGGGTCCAGGACTCAAACCACAGTTGACTACATTGGAATCCAGTAACATAGCCATTATGCTAACTGCTGGTCCCAACATCTGATAGTTTTTGACAGAAGTCAGAGGACACTACTTACTAGACAATCCTTATCAGCAAGCATATTCCCAACCATATTTCTGTAATATCAGGTAACCAAAGCCAAATCAGTCTCTGTATCAGATTCCTTACCTCCTATATGGTCTTACCTTCATTACTAACCTCAACTTTTCCTCTCATGGAGTCTAGAAAGGAATATAAGGGTCAATAGTCAATTAAACATTTATACTTATAATGTAGTTTTTCATTCTTTTGATGATAAAAGTAATGCAGGGCCAGCAGGTGGCATGGTGGTTAGGGGCGCTGGACTCACACATGACTGACCATGGCTCAAGCTCGGACCTGGCGGTTCGCTTTCTTACTTTCCATCTCTCTCTCCCCTCCCCCAATCTGGTCAAATTAAAATAAATAAATAAATAAGTAAAGTTAAATACTTCTTCAAAAAAAATAGTAATACATGCTCACTACAGAACATTTCAACAACAGAGTCCAAAGTTGATGATGTCGCTTATAGTCCGATCCTTTAAGTAATCAATATTCATGTTTTACTGTAAATCTTACAAGAACTTTAATATATCATGTATATATATACATTTTTAATCATATCATTACAACCTTTTCTCCCACTTAACTTATCGTGACCACTTTTCATGCTATTAAATATTCCATATCAGTTTTAATGGCTCTCTACATACTATTCACAGGGATATAATTTCTAATGACATATTTTCATCTGTAATCTTAAGATTATGAATGAGTCAGATTTATTTATTTATTATACTTTAGAGACATTTTTTGCTGTAGGGCCACATGCACCTCCCAGAGAAACAGAGAGAAATAGAAGAGGTAGACAGAAAGTGAGAAATCACCCCCAGGAGGGAGGGCCATGCCTCAATCCCTCCTGCTCTATTCTCCTCTCAGGATTTGGACATGCATGCACACATGCCAGGTGTGTGTTTCAAGATGCCAGGTCTGGGACTCCACCTGTGGTCAGCCACATGGGAGTTCAGTGCTTTAACCACTATGCCACCTGCTAGCCCTGAATCAGATCTTTAATAAACTTTGCACACAGAATATAGATCTATTATATATCTTCTGTCACTGGAAAAAAATACATAAATTAAAAATTTTGTGTTTACCTAAAGACAAATTTAATATCAGTAAGCATTTCTTCTCTGAATTAACTCCTGCTTATACTTTAGCTCTCAATCAGGGGGATCCTTATAAGCAAAACTGATGTATTTCTTCCACATCTATCAGTTAGAGAGCAACCTCCTTTTTCTCTAACGCACATATGCCTCCATGCATATGTGTGTCATTCTTTGTTCAAACAATTATTGAGCACTATTTACCAGGCATGATTGTAGTTTTCTGGGGTATGGCAATGGGGCATGCTTACAATGTCTGAGAAACTGTATGGTTGGCACTGCTGGTGTGGAGTGAGCATAGGGAAAAATGATAGAAGTCAAGAAGGTTGCCAAAAGCCAGATCACATAGCACCTTATAGGTACTGCAAGGACTTTAACAATAAGTAAATTGGGAAAACACTAGAGGATTACAAACATGATCTCAATTATTCATTTCAAAACAATCCATCTGACTGCTGTGAGTAAATGAGACTAAAAGAAGTCTTGTACCAGAGTATTCTGGTGGAGTCATTGAGAAGCAGTTGAATTTTAGATCTATTTTACTGAGACACACAGATTAACTACACTCGGTGTGGAATGTGAAAAGTCAAGGGTGACCAAATCCAGTGGCCTGAACAAATAATAAGCAAACCTGAATTGTCATCTACTGAGATGGAAGATCAGTGAAAGAAGCGTCTAGAGGCAGAAGTAGGAAATTGATTTTGGTCATGCTGAGTTTGAGATGCTCATCATACAGACATCCAAGGGGAGAGGGATGTGATTGCATGTTTAATGCTAGACATGAATAATTAGGACTGGAGAAGTTAGTTTGGAAGTTATCTATGTACAGTAGAAACTTAAAGATCTAGCGAGATCACTTAGGTGAAGAAGGAGAGTCAAGGGCTGGGTCCTGGCTCACTTTAACCTTTAGTGGCAGAGAAAATCAGGAACAATTAGTGAAGAGGCTTGCAAGAGACCAGTGAGGTATGAGGAGAGCCAAGGAAAATGTTTCCTGGATCCAAGACACGCAAGATCCAGAAATAAGGAGAGCTTATTAGTGTCAAATGCTGCTATTAGAACTGAAAAGCGACGACTGGGTCTGGGCTTATGGAGCTCATATTGGTAGCTTTGACGAGGGCAGTATCTTTGAAATGGCTAGGAAAGAAAACCCTATAGGAAAAAGAAAAAAAAGGCAGGCAATAGGGGATTCAGTGAGTAGAAATAATGTTCATGATGTTTGCTACTTAAAAAAAAAAAAAAAAAGAAAAACCAGAGAGGGGTCAGCAGGTGGCATGGTGGTTAAGGGACTGGGCTCCCACATAGTGGACGATGGTTCTAGTCCCAGACCCAGCAGCTTGAAAATCACACTGGATGTGTGAGTAGTACATGCCCAAAATCCTGAGAGAAGAATGAAGAATGGATTGCCATGTGGCCATTGCCCCTGGGAGAGTGATTTCTCACTTTACTTCTCTGTCTCTCTTTAGTAAGTACCCTATGGAAATAAAATAAAATGAAATAACAGATAAATCCAAGTTCTAGATCATCATTCTTACCTTCTACCAAACTAAACAAGATTCCTCTATTAAATATTTTCATTGCATGCTGCATTTTTCCTTTATAACTTAATACAGTTTAGGGGGTTATTATAATTTTAAAAAATTTGTGACCCTTGGGTAATCAAAGATTCTTTTTTTTTTCTTTTATTGACAAAGGGCACAGTGCTTACCACAGAACGAGAAACCATCCTTCCCCTTATCCCCAACTTCACCATAATCCTTTCTCCTTCATTTCTCTATCCCATCAGGGTTTGGGGCAAACATTCATATGTACCCTACATGTTTTGCAAGCAGCTGGAATAAGACTTGAGCAGTGGTCAGCCACATGGGATCCAATCCCATCCTCAGCACTTAACTGCTGGGTCACCTGCTGGCCGATTACTATAGATTTCTCTATACGCTTATTTGTTTACTGACTATCTCTGCCATTAGACTGTGAAGCCTATTAGGGCGGAGACCATTTTGTTCATTGCTGAATCCTCAGTGCCTTGAATAGGGTGGTCTAGTATATGTTAAAATCCCTTTGTTAACAGTCTGAAATATTAAAGGTTTCATTGTGAGATTTCATTCCACCTTGTCTGTTAGCCCTTTAATGCACATCTTGATGTTTAAATGAATAACTTGGGCTTGATGCTAACCTCTTCTAACATGTCTCACGTTACCAGATTAAGTGAAAAAAGGAAGAAAGAAAAGAAGAAATGCATTTTCCATTGTATTCCGATTGATACATGTGAAGAGGAAGAAAGGAGGAAGCGAAGTAGGAAAGAAAACAAAAATTGGAGTAAGTGGTGAAGCAAAGCATTCTGATTTTTAAGAAAGGAACAAATTGACTAGTCTAAAGGACTGGAAAAATGTCAGTAACTAACTATTCAGAATTTAAAATAATAGCAAATGTTATCTCCATGATATTCAATTTCTATGATTTGCAATAGTTCTTGATTTTCATAATGCTATTTGCGTAAAGCTCTCATTCTGATCATAAGAATGTTGAACAAAGCATATGTTTCAATAATCCAGTTAAAAGTAATATGTGAACCACCAAACAAATCACAAAAAGGGACAAATTATTCTTAATATTAGTATATTAAGGAAATTAATTCCAGAAGAGGAAAACTACATAAAACTTGTATGCGTGGGACCAGCAGTTAGTGTAATGACTATGTTGCTGGGCTCCCATGTAGTCGACCGCGATTTGAGTAGTCGACCGCGATTTGAGTACTGGACCCAGTGGCTTAAACCCACACCAGGCATGTGTGCATGCATGCCCAAGATCCCAAGAGGAGAATGGAGGAGAAGGGATTGTGGCTGGCCATACCCCCTGGGGGGTGATTTCTCGCTTTCTGTCTCTCTGTCTCTGTCTGTCTGTCTGGCGAGTGCACACACCCTATAGCAAAAACCTTTGCAAAAAAAGAAAAAAAAACCTTATATGCTAGATATAAAAATTTCCTTCTGTATTGTTATATATTCCAAATATCCAGAAATAGAGAGAATGCTTTGGTCTATAAGAAAAAAAGGAAGCCAGCAGGTGGCATAGTGGTTAAGGAGCTGGACTCCCACATAGCCAAGCATGGTTTGAGTCCAGACCCTGCGGCTTGAACATCATGCCAGACATGGTGCATACATGCCCAAAATCTGGAGAGAAGAACAGAGGAGAAAGTATTGAGGTGGGGCCACCCCCCTCCCCCCTACACACAAGGGAGATTTCTCACTTTCTGTTTCTGTGTCTCTTGGGATGGTACATGTGCCCTAAGGCAAAAATATAAAAGAAAAAGAAAACAAAAGAGGAAAAATCTGATCAATCTTATAGCTTACAGAGGTTTAGTTTGAGATTTCCAGATTAGTTAGTTATAATAAGAACTATATACTATCTCCTTCTCTCCTAAAATTGACAAACAGAGCAAAGAATTATAATCTTTTTATTTATTTGATAATGGGTTTTTCCCAATAAAGCATGACAAACAAACATATACATATAATTGAATGGTAGGGGGAATAACCAATGGGACTCACCAGAAATATGAAAAGAATATCTCAAAGAAAATTCTTCCATGGCCAAAGTGACATTGTACATGAAAATCAACATCATAGGAGGACCATGAGGTTTTAATGGAGGGGAATCTCGGCCACATGATTGTCCTAGCCAAAAACAAACAGAAAAATATTTATGAAGCCAAAGGTGATTGAGCAAAACAAAAGGAAAAAAAATCATATTTTAAATATTATAAATTTATACCATTTCTATTTCCAACAATATAAAAATGATATGTACATGAAAATCAACATCATAGGAGGACCATGAGGTTTTAATGGAGGGGAATCTCGGCCACATGATTGTCCTAGCCAAAAACAAACAGAAAAATATTTATGAAGCCAAAGGTGATTGAGCAAAACAAAAGGAAAAAAAATCATATTTTAAATATTATAAATTTATACCATTTCTATTTCCAACAATATAAAAATGATAAAATTAAGTATAAAACAAAAGGAAAAAAGTCATATTTTAAAAATTATAAATTTATATCATTTCTATTTCCAACAATATAAAAATGATAAAATTAAGTAAGTAAAAATCAATTAGAATAGCGAGATAAATGTTTCACTATTACAGGAAAACTACCGGCTAACATAAACAAATGGCCAGAAAATAACTTTATTATACAAAGAACTGTGTGAAGAGCCTGGTGGGGTGCTTTCTCTCTTTCTCATGGAAGAAATTAAATGAGTAAACTTGAAAAAAAGTAAATGAAATAAGAGATTTAATTTAAATTGCATAGTACCTGGTATATAAATATTCATTAACCTTTCTTATTAAAGTGGGTAATAGTTAATCCTGTATTTTGTGTTCTCAAAAGCACTTGGGTCAATAGCTTGTCATTCAGGACTAGCAATTGGTATAATGGCTATGCTGCTGGACTCCCATGTAGTCGACCACGGTTCGAGTTCTGGACCTGGTGGCTTAAACTCACACTGGGCGCATGTGCGTGTGTGCCCAAAATCCTGAGAAGAGAATGGAGGAGAAGGGATTGCAGCATGGCCATTCTCCCTGGAGGGTGATTTCTTGCTTTCTGTCTCTCTGTCTCTCTGGCGAGCGTATATGCCCTATAGCAAAAACCCCTCCAAAAAAAAAATAGCTTGTCATTCACTTGGGAAATAAGTTAAAAGCAAAAGGCTCAGGTCTCTGGTTTAACCTTTAACATAATCAAGATTGGGTCAAAGATATCTAGGGCTTATAAACTTATTTTTATGGATTTAAGTTTTCTAATATTGACTTGCAAACATTCCCTGTTTTAATTACTGTAAACCTTTCTCAAATTGCTGAAAACCCCAAGTTTATGATTTGCTTTTTAATTTTGTTTCTCCTGAAGCAGAACTTTTTAATTACATAGGAATTCATTAATAATTTGTTTTCTTCAGTTACTTTTAAAAAAAGAATTATTTATCTATTCAATTCCATTTATTATTTTTTAATTTGACCAGAGAGAGAGAAAGAGAGAGAGAAAGAAAGGGAAAGTAGGAAAGCAAGCTGCCAGGTCTGGGACTTGAACCACGGTCATCGCAAAAGTCTTCATAAGATGAAGTTATAGTAACAGCAATTAGTATGCATAATAAAAAGATAGAAGTTGGGAAACATACAATTTCATATCATGCCTCCGGAAAGTGGAAAAACAATAACGAAAAAATCTAAAAAATGACAGGAGAAAAGAAATCATAAAGCCTCAAGCAGAAATAAATGCAATAGAAAATAAATGAACTATACAGAAAATAACTGAAAGCAAAAGCAGGTTCTCTGAAAAGATTAACAAGATTGACATATCATTAGTTAGACGGAGTAAGAAGAAAGGAACCAGATAAATCAAATTTGCAATGAAATAGGCAATATTACAAAGGACACAACAGACATCCAAAACATTCTTAGAGGATACTGTGAACAATTATATGCCAACAAACCAGAGACGCTGGATGAGATGGACAAATCCCTGGACACATATAACCTACCAATACTGAATCAGGAGGACATCGAAAGTCTGAACAGATCCATAACAAACAATGAGATTGAATCAGTAAGAACCAGCCTCCCAACGAGGAAAGGCCTGAGTCCAGAAAGCTTCACTTCTGAATTCTATAAAACTTTTAAAGAAGAGGTAACCCCTTTTCTACTCAAACTACTTCCAGAGATCCAAAAGGAAGGAATCTTCCCAAACTCATTTTATGAAGCCTCCCTCATTCCCAAAATAGATAAAGACATGACAAAACATGAAAACTACAGACCAATATTGCTGATGAAAATAGATGTAAAAATTCTCAACCAGATACTTGCAAATCATATCCGACAACATATAACAAAGATTATTTATCATGACCAGGTAGGCTTGATTCCAGGGATGCAAGGGTGGTTCAATATACGCAAGACCATAAACATAATACACCATATTAACTGAAAGAATGATAAAAACCATATGATTATTTCAATTGATACAGAAAAAGTATTCGATAAATTATTTCCCTTCGTGATTAAAACTTTCAGCAAAATCAGCATAGAAGGGTCATTTCTCAAAACAATAAAAGCCATAAAAAAAAAAGTATAGCTAACATTATACTGAATAGGCAAAAGCTGAAAGCTCTTCCACTAAAAATTGGCTCTAGACAGGGATGCCCACTTTGTCCGTTCCTTTTCAATATAGTGATAGACGTTATAGGCAATGCAATCAGAAATATAAAAAATATATAATACAATAGTTTATATCTCTATATATGCTATTATAAATAACATTTTCCCATTAAATGTGTTAATTTTCACTGCTTTGGTTTTAAGATTATGGCTGCCTCACATTTAATTTATACTGATTTTTCCAAATTTTCGTTAGAAAATCATATCATGTACTACATTTCTAAGTATTAAACTACCCTTACATGCTATATATGCCATATTTATGAATCTACTAGCTTAATTTAAATATTCACTGAATAATCTGCCAAATAAGCATTGGCTTACTCTGCCCCCTAAATGGTTCAGACTATGCCACCACTGGCAAAAGGATTGTTTTGAGCTGAAAGCAATTGACAAAAAACAAAATCAGACGAGAAAAATTCTCTGCCTGCCCCCTTTCTATTAATATTAGGAAGAGGAAGATAATTCTTTTTTTTTTTTTTTTTTTGAGAGGTTTTATGCTA